TAGGGCAAGAACTCAAAGTGGAAAGCTGCAGGCAAGAACTGAAGCAGTGACCATAAATAAAACATGCTTTCCAGCTCTCTCCCCGGCCCATGGTCAGCTGCCTTTCTCATACGGCTGAGGCCCACCTGCCTAGGGATGGTGCTGCCCATAGTAGGCGGGGCCCTCCAATATCAATTAGCAATCAAGAAAATGCCCCACAAGGCTGGAGAGGGTGGCTCAGTGGTTAAGAACATTAGCTGTTCTTCCAGAGGACATGGTTCAACTCCCAGCACCCACAATGCATTTCAAAACCATCTGTACCTCCAGCCCTAGGGGATCTGATACCCTCTTCTGACCCCCACATACACTCACACACATAATGTATGAACGTACATGCAGACAAAACACCCACACACCTAAAATTAAGAATAAAGAGCCGGGCGCCTTTAATCCCAGCACTCGGGAGGCAGAGGCAGGCGGATCTCTGTGAGTTCGAGGCCAGGCTGGACCGACAGCCTCCAAAACAATACAGAGAAACCCTGTCCCATAAAACCAAAAAAAAAGAAAGGAAGAAAGAAAGGAAGGAAGGAAGAAAGGAAATGCCCAGAGACACAGCCATAAGCCAATCTGATGGTGACAATTCTTCAGCTGACGTTCCCTCTTCCCAGGTGACTCTAGGTTTGTGTCAAAATACCGAAAGAAAAATAAGTGCGTGCTCACAGGCTAGGTGCTTGCTTTTCTGCAGAAATGACTCCAGTCAGACAGCAGCCCAAGAACAAAATGAAAGAAGTACTCATCACATTTGTGAAAGAGGTACTGCTGAGGCTTTGTTCTTCAGAACTTAGTCACGGTAGTTCCCTGAGAAAGTTAACCTCCTGTGACTATCTATAGAAAGTAAATCTGTCTCTGAGCCAGCTCCAACTGCTCCTGGGAACATTAGCCACACGCTGTCTTCACAGGGTGGCAGTGTTCACAGAGCTGATGATAGCGACATGTGTAACTTTTCCAAGCTAGTTAGTGATGTCAGTTTAGTGTGGGAGAAACATTTACTAGAACACAGATTGACCTAAGGGCTGTTTCAGAATTTGGTATGATGTATTATATAACCGTTTGCCAAATCACTTTTCTTTGTATTTTTTACAGACAGGATGTACACGTTTTAAGCCAAAACTTGGTATTTATTGATGTTTGCCACCTGTTTTACAGGCATGTTCCTACACTAGTGATGTGAGATATTAATAAATGATGTTATAAGTCCTGCCTTTTGGGAATTGAGAAGATAATTAAAGAATTAAGAATGGTAACAGCACTTGAAAGACCCTGCTGTGGGATAATCCTTCTGTACTCTATGAATATGTATTACTCTCATTGGTTAATAATAAAGCTGATTTGGCCCATAGCAAGGCAGAATAAGGCCAAGCAGGAAAGCCAAAGTGAAAATACAGAAAGGAAGAAGGGCGGAGCCAGAAGAGGCAAGGCAACCAGAGGAACAGGACGTGATAGAGGGCAGGTAAAGTCACAAACCACATGGCAAATTGAAGATTAATAGAAATGGGCTAGTTTAGGTTGTAAAAGCTAGTTAATATTAAACCTGAGCTATAGGCCAAACATTTGTAATTAATATAAGCTTTTGTGTGATGATTTGGGACTGGGTGGTCTGAACAGAAAAACTCTGCCTCTGTTTACAAGAGCCACTAAAGGGACACACATACTGTGGGGTGCTCCCCTCTGGACCCAGGATTAGGCACATACCACACCCAAACACAGTTTCCAAGCACAAACCAAACACAAAGAGATCTTTTAGTAAGTGAGACAAAGAAACAAGGTGGGTGACTAGCTTTGCAAGTGTTAATTTGAGAGGGAAAAGGACAGTCTGTATTGGGATGAGCTAGGACCTGATGGTAAATTCTGATTGGGTATTTTAATTAGGATAGTCAAAATAATGAATTTTGATTTCTGTACCTTGGTGTTTTGATAGTTTGACCTTGGTGATCAGTCTCAGGAATGTGTCAGGCATAACAAAGTGGTCAAACAAGGGAACAGACCTTGGTGGCTAGCTTTAGGAATGTAATCTAATGGTTTAGCGAGGCAGAGGGACGAGAAAAGGATGAAACCTGACCACATCATGTTTGCCATGCTCAGACCTGTGTTTGCGATGCTTGGGCTTGCTAGAGCCCTTCAGCCCAGCCACAGTACTTGCACAGTAATGGGACCAGGGATGAACAAGAACCATGAAGGAAGGCTCTGCCTGGAGGTGAGTGAGTCTGCCTAACCAGCCGAACGGGCACAGGGGACGTCAGGAGCATCATTCATTGTCCACTTCACTCCCTCACTACCCAGCTGACATGAATCAGACTGACCACATGGGACCCTCTCAGGTCTCTCTCAGGACTCAGCAGCAGTGAGTCCTTTGTCCTCCTACCACAATACTGATCTCTTGGCCCTTTAACTATACCTAAACTTTGAGTAGGACCTTTGACTCAGACTGTCACTTTCTAACGTTCATAACACCAGCAGCTCTCCAGCTTCATGGTGCCTACCTCAGAAAAGTATATACAAATATAAGTTCACAGCCAAGCCCGTAGATCTTACCTCTACCCAGCTCAAATGGCAATCCTGTCTCTACAAATCTCAGAGGCAAAAGGCTCTCAGATTCTGTCTCCTCTTTCTTATATTTCTTTCTCTGCACTGCCATATCCTTCTGTCTCCACCTCCCTAGTGCTGGGATTAAAGGTGTATGATTCCAAATGCTGATATTACCTTTGTGTGAGCTGTTTCTTTTAGGACTGGATCAATTTCGTGTAGTCAGTGTGGCCTTGAACTAACAGAGATCTGTCTACCTCTTAATCCTGAGACCTGGGATTAAAGATGTGTACTACCCCCACCTGGTTCTCTGGCTTCTAGGATTAAAGGTGTATATAAGGGTAGTGATATCCTTTTGTTGTCTTATTGCTCTAGCTAGAACTTCGACTACAATATTGAAGAGATGTGGACAGCCTTGCCTTGTTTCTTATTTTAGTGGAATTTCTTTGAATTTCTCTCCATTTAATTTGATGTTGGCTGTTGGCTTGCTGTATATTGCTTTTATTTTGTTTAGGTATGTTCCTTGTATTCCTTTACCATGAAGGGGTGTTGGATTTTGTCAAAGGCTTTGTCAGCATCTAATGAGATGATCATGTGGGTGTATTTTTTCTTTCAGTTTGTTTGTATGGTGGATTACATTGACAGATTTTTGTATGTTGAACCACCACTGCATCTCTGGGATGAAGCCTACATCACAGTGGATGATTTTTTAATGTGTTCTTGGATTCGGTTTGCCAGTATTTTTGCATCAATGTTCATGAGGGAAATTGGCCTATAATTCTCTTTCTTTGTTGCTTTTTTGTGTGGTTTGGGTATCAGGGTAACTAGCACATCAAAAGAATTTGGCAGTGTTCCTTCTGTTGTGTGGAACAGTTTGAGAAGTATTAGTATTCTCTCTTTTGAAATTCTAGCAGAGTTCTGCACTGAACCAATTTTTTGATAGAGAAGTGTGTTCTGACACTGACACTTTCCTGTTCCTTTCTCCAGCCCCTTTGCTTTCTAACCCTCACCAATGCAGCACCACATCACATTCTAGTGCCCCAATATCCGTCTCTAGGTCTTTTATTTTTCATGCAACATACCAATGTTGGAGATATACCCAAAGGATATTCAATCATATCACAAGGACACTTGCTCAACTATGGTCATAGCAGCATTATTCATAATGGCCAGAACCTGGAACTGTCCTAGATGCCCTTCAACCAAAAAATGGGTTAAAAAATATTATACATTTATACAATGGGGTGTTACTGAGCTGAAAAAAACCAAAACAACAACAACAACAATGGCATCATGAAATTTGCAGGCAAATGGATAGAACTAGAAAAAAAAATCATCCTGAGGGAGGTAACCCTGACCCAGAAAGACAAACATGGTACATACTCACTCATAAGTGTGTATTAGCTGTGAAGTAAAGGATAACCATGTTGTGGATAAGAATCCACAGCCCCAGAGAAGCTAGGTAACAAGGAGAGCTCAAAGAGCAACACATGAATTTCCCTGGGAAGGGGAACTAGAAGAGATATCCTGGGTATACTGGGGGTGGGATGGGGGGTGGGAACATGAGGGTTCAGGTTGGATAGATCAGAGACTGGATGAAGGGGCAGAATAATGAAAGAAATGTCTTGGTGGGGGTGCTGCATTTCAGGGTTAGGTAGAAACCTGGTACCAGGGAAACTCCCAGGAAACCACAAGGATGATCCAGCTAAGACTCCTAGGAACAGTGGAGAGGGTAACTGAACAGACCATCTCCTGTAATCAGATGGTGACTATCCTAATTGTCATCTGAGAGCCTTCATTCAGGGAAGCAGATACAGGTAACCACAGTCAAGCCCTGGACATCCTGTTGAAGAGAGGGAGGAGGGATTGTAAAAGCCAGGGGGGGGTCAAGGTCATGATAGGAGAACCCACAGAGACAGCTGACCTGACCTTATATTGGGAGTGCACAGACTCTGGACCAACAACTAGGGAGCCTGCATAGAATCAACCTAGGTCCTTTGCATGTGTGTGACAGTTGTGTAGCTTGGTCTGTTTGTGGGGCTCCTAGCAGTAGGATCAGGACCCTGGTGATTAAGTTGGCTTTTGGCAACCTATACCCCATGCTGGGTTGCCTCTCCCAGCCTTGATGCAGGGGGAAGAACTTTGTGTATCATGCTTTGTTAACACCTATGAGAGGCCTGCCCCTTTTTAAGACAGAGGAGTGGATGGGAGAAGGCAGGAAGAGAGGAGGGAGAGGAAACTGAGGTGGGGACGTAAAATAAATGAAAAAAAATTTCATGTAATATTCAAAAGAACAGAACACACTTCCCAGCATAAATGAGAGGAAAGTGAAAACCACAGTGCATTCCCAAATTTACAATAATTAATTGAGTAATAAAAGGACTTTGGAATTGTATAACAATGGGATTGGCTACTTAGAAGCAAGGAAGTAAAGGTACTTATAAACTCCAGATAAATATCTGAGACCAGAACAGATCTTGGAGCTGAGAAAGAGAAAACCCAGAGGTGTGGGGGAGACTGCAGAAATCCACTGAAGCCACTCTGCCTTCCTCTCTTGGTGGGTACGAAAGGGGGCTGGGATGTTTGGGTGGGTTCACTGACTCATTTTATTCTCTGGGTTGGAGAGAGGAAGCCAGTGTTTGAATCTGTATTGAGACAGTTGATAAACGAGGGAAAGAGAAACTCATCAATGAAGACAATCACTATGAAGCAAGTAAAAGGCACTTCAAGTATATCTATACACACATGCATATACATAAATCTAATGCTAAGAACAGTGTGTGCAGATGAATGAAAGCCCATGAATAGTAACCAATAAGTAAGAATCCCGTATGATTACCACGGGATCACACGGAACAACAGAGACACGGAAGCACTTGGTTTCTGAATATGAGTCATTAAAGATGCTTCTTTCTGGAAAATGAGGGAGGGGGTCATGCTTCCCTGGGTCAGCCATTTTTATATTTTCTGAAAGATAATGCCTTTAGATGTGTGTGCTGCATGATTATGTGAAAATGTTTGAGTCCCTCTGTTGTTTATTATTATACTATAATATATTCTAAATAATAGTTATCATCTCATTCTGTTCATAGAAAAAAAGTGATAGAAATTAAAATAGTATTTCCCATCTTTATTTGAATTAGCATATAAGCTAGTTTTTCTCTTATTGTTGAAGTTTCTATGCTTTAAAGTTCATCAAAACTTTGTTGTTTTTTATGATTTTATATGCTTAAAATGGTTGTAGTAGTTCTCTCTCTCTCTTTTAGAAAAAGGACAACTCATGATATAATAACTTATCAATTGTTAAGTGGAAAAAAAGAACTAACTCTATTAAAAACAAAAACAAAAACAAAAAAACCCCGACTCAGGACTGAACTCACTGACTTTCCTTTATATGGGTCCTCATTTTGGTTGAATAATCCGTTAATCTGTCTTCCTGGCATCACTTTCACATCTACATACTGAGTCATTTTGGTGTGAACCAAAAAGTGCAGAACTGGGTCACTTCCTCAGCCTGATCTGGCACAGACACCCCCTGGGCTGGCCAGCTTAGGTTTTATAGAGTCAGATATTAGTAGTCTGCGCTCTACATGCAGAAACTAGGTAGCAGATAGAAAATCAGAAACTGATGGTAAATAAAAATCTTGAAACTTTCCTAATGAATTTATCAGAGGCAAAAATATGCAATGATGAGCAGCAAAGACAATAATAGTCTCTCTGTGTGTGCATTTATCTGTCTCTGTCTATTTATCTCTAGCTCTGTCTCTTTCTCCCTCGGCCTCTCTCATAGGGCAATCATTTCATTGTATACATTTTTTAAGCCCAGGAAAATTCTTGTCCTGACTCATTACTATACCCCAGCTCCTCTATCCTTGCTCTTGGCATTGATCCTTTGAAGTTCAATCCTTTTTACCAAATGGACTCACATCCTCTACTTGAAATTGGGTTCTAATAACACAATAGTCGCTGCTGCTCATCAAGTTCTTGGTCTATGCTGGGAATATCAAATTTATTTTTTAAATTTCATTTTACATTCCAACCAAAGTTCTCCCTCTCACCCCTTCACCTCTCTCACAGATCATCCACTCCTCCATGGGGAGTCGACAACGTCTGGCACATTAAGTTGGGGCAGGACAAAGCCCCTCCTCACTGTGTTAAGGCTGAGCACGGCATCCCATCATAAGGAATGGGCTCCAACAAGCTAGCTCATGCACTGAGGATAGATTCTGGTCCTACTACCAAGAGCCCTTCAGATAGCCCAGCCTTCACAACTCTTTCTCATATATGGAGGGTCTAGTTCGGTCCCACGGAGGCTCCATAGCTTCCAGTCTAGAGTTCATGAGTTCTCTCAAGCTTGGTTCATCTTTCTCTGCAGATTTCTGCATCATGATCTTGACCTCACTTGCTCTTAAAACAGCTTTATGAAAATTGTCATTATTCAAACTTTGTAACCATTTTTTTCATATTTTTATTTAACTTTTTACACATGTCACTCTCAGTTCCCTCTCTCTCCCCTCCTCCCCCACATCCCAACCTCCCAACCCCTCACCCCCCACTTTATCCCCCCTCTGCTCCCCAGGGAGGGCAAGGGCTTCCATGAGGGATTTTCAGAGTCTGTCACATCATCCTTGGAAGGGCCTAGGTTCTTCCCCATGTGTCCAGGCTGAGAGAGCATCCCTCCATGTGGTATGGGTTCCCAGAGTCCATCTGTATGTCAGGAATAAATACTGCTCTATTCTCCAAGGTCCCACAGATTGCCAAGGCCTCCTCTCTGTCACCCATTTAAATGGCAACATTAGCTGTTTTACAGCTTAGATGCAGGAACAAATGGAGATTTAATTGAGAAAGCTGCTCAAGGAACCACAGTTTAGTAATGTATTAGGTTAGAGACTAAAAGATCTGGAATAGTATTTAGTCTCAGAACCTGTATCTACAAATGCATGGTTCCTGTATGTCATGAGGAATCACTCCTCATAGCCCTAGAGGAAAGTATTCTTTTGTTGTTTTTAGCACTGTGTTGTGGATAAATAACAACAAAGAAAGTTCAACAAACTTACTAGTCACATAACTAGCGTCAAACAGAATTCTAACCCCAAGCTGATGCTTGTAATTGAACACAGTACACACCTTCTGTGGTATTTAATGCATGTTATCCTAAAGAGGTCATTTGAAGCCTGCTGAAGAGAGGCCTTACTATCTTACACTAATTTATTATAGCAACAGATAGAAAACTACATTGATGTCAATAATGCAACTTGACAGTAAGGAAGGTGGTCCCAGATTAAAATTATTTGTTAGGGGAAGTCACTAGCTCACATATGGCCACTGATGTTAGTCTCCTTAATGTTATTTATATAAACTTGTCTTGAGGGCTTTTATTCATTCAGCATCTCAGTAAACCTCCAAGACTAAATGTGAACAAAATCACTAGTAATCCTTAAAGAAAGAAGAAAACTGCATACCAAAAACTCTGTGTTTAGTGTCTTTGGGTTCATTTTTGAGATCTTCTCTGCAAACCATCTTCTTGTTTTCACAGATGTCAAATAGCCCTGGAGAAGGGATGTCTTCCCTCTTTGTCTAAAGTATGAATTATACAAGCAACCTATTGGTGCATAAAACTACTGGCATTGTAATAAGGGCACTTACTCAAACGATGTGTTCAGAGTCCTGGTATTTCCGTCCTCCCTGACTTCTGTTGCCCTTCAGAAGCAATGAACTCAGGAAAACGCACATGCAAACATGTCTGTATGTGTGCGCACGTGCGCGAGCACACACACACACGTACATGAACACATTGCAAAGCTAAATACAAAGAACTGAAAACTAAATATATTACCATCATCCCCTCCTTCACTTCTTTTGAGCCCCAGGATATATGAGACTCCAAGGTCAAATAAGAATCATATTTGTATTGCTTGTCACTACAATATCTGCTCACTTGCTCTCTCTTCCACTTGCATAGAACACTGACACTTGATAAGATGTCCTTTAATTTCTTACCTTGGTAAATGTGTTACTTTTGTATGTTTTCCATTGTTTAGGACATAATGATGTCTTCCTGGACAACCACCTACCCTGGAATGCATGTCACCATTCCTAATCCTTGCCCACCAACACATTCCAAGGCTCTTCATCATCAGCAACCTCTGGATTTTTTAAACGTAGGAAGCCAAGTACAGACTGAGCAACATTCCTTCATTACATCTCCAGGAATCTTCACTACCAATCAGCTGGGTCTAGAAAATGTGCCAATGGCACATTCAGGTCCAGGAACAACAGCAACCAAAACCAACTTTAAAGATGCAACAATAGCTCTTGGGGTGAGTCTATTTGCCACTAGAATTTTAATGTTGTAATTGCAAGGTTTCCATGCAATGGTCAGTTACAATAGTATATTGTCCAATGAGCAAAAATATTTGAGGATTATTCTGATAACTGTGTCTTTTCAGAAAGAAATGATTCAGTCATGAATCTAAAAGTTGACATAAGACTCTCCCTAGCAGGAAGACACAGTAAAATGGTGAAGTGACAGAAGCCCAACTGCTTCTTGCTTGAACTCACTGCTGTGAAAGTCTTTCTAGACAACCTCACCTCTGTCTTTGGATTGGTTATAAATGTATATTCCTATAAAGATGAATCATCTTTAAAGAGATCATCAAAAACTGTTTTAAAGAGAAATGTTACATCTTTGTTGCTTTCCTTCCCAGAAGTTGACTTGAACTGGACACCCACGATCTTGTTTCTACAATCATTGTAAAGCAAGTCTGTCTTGGAGTAAAGACTCCTCATGCTTAGACAGAAGTGACCATCATTTGATAAGTTTTCCCCATACCTCTTCACACGCTCCCACCAATGTGTCATGTTTCTTCCTGTGTACAACTCCAAAATCTCTGCTACGGGAGTCAGTAGACAATAGGTGCCCACTATGTATCAGAATTCTTCAGCCATCTTACCAGCTAGTGCTTTTGGTAGTTTAGTCAAGTTATGGTGTTTCAGGTAAGTAAAAATGAACAGTACCCCACCCTCCACTCCAGCAGCCAATCTACAGTGGGAAAGTGGCTCCTTGGATCATCCCCTACCAAGTGGAGAGTGTTCCCTGAAAACTCATAGCTCACAAAGCCAACCCACACAGCTGCTGAAAATATCTGAGAGTACAAGGCAGCACAGTCTCTACCTTCAGAGGACCTATGGCCTAGTCAGAGAAATCGGGCTGTACACATAACAAGGCTGCAATCTAGATAGCCCAGACAGAAATCTTGTGTTTTCTCTCATATGCACATCCTATCTTTTACTTTTTGTAGGGAGGAGGAGGTGTGGTGTGAGTGTGAATACGACTATGAAACTAGAAAGGAAATCACAAAAAGATAAAAAAGAGATGCTGAGGAAAGGGGATGGGCAACAGGACACATATAAACAGAAGGGAGGCTTCTGGGAGTCAAAGGATATAAGGAGGTGCAAAGAAATAGATGAGATGAAAGGAGACAGATCAATAATTTCATTTGAAAATTCCAGAATGAATCCTGGTACTTTATATGCTAACTTAAAAATTAAGCAAGTAATATACAGAGTTAAGAGGGAAAAGAAGCAGACAGTGAATGGGTAGACACTTGAAGTTGATCAAGATGGGCATTCCAAATGCGTAAGTTCAGAGTTAGCCACACAGATATCAGGACAAGAAAAAATGACCAGTGTAAAGTCTTCAGATGAAAAATGCATGTGACGTATTTGATGAACAGAAGGAGGCCAATAAAGAAGAGCAAAGTATGCAAAGGAAGGAGTAGCAGGAAGGAGGCCAGAGGCGAGGTAGCAGGCACACCTGGTGGAACACGTGGCACAGACAGCTTTGACTTTTACTGTGTGGAACAAGGATCCATTTGGAGCATTCTTCCTGATGGAAAAAATATGCAATCAAAATATATTTAAAGAAAAATGAAGTTCTGTTTTAAAGCACACACACAGAGAGAGAGAGAGAGAGAGAGAGAGAGAGAGAGAGAGAGAGAGAGAGAGAGTGTTGGCAGAAGCTGAGGCACTCTCCATGAAGACTGTGAAGCTATAACCCAACTTATCACAATACTTCAGGGACCACAGATGGAGGGGATAGAATACCTGGTCCCCTCCACTCAAAAGCACTGTGATGGTTAGCTGTAACTGTCAACTTGGTACAAGCTAGAATCACCTGAGAAGAGAGACTCAAGGAAGGGTTGCCCAGTGGATATGTCTTTGAGGCTTTGTCTTAATTAAGTTCACTGATATGGGAGAACCCACATCACCATGGGCAACACCATTCCCTAGGCAGGGAGACCTGGAATGTCTAAGAGTGGAGAAATCAGTCTGAGTATGAGCAAGCAAGCAGGTTTGCATACATTTCTATCTTGTGTGATATGATTAGCTCTTTGAAGTTTCTACCTTGATTTCTCTACTACAACCAGGAATTGTGAGCTGAAAATAAACCCTTTACCCTAAGTTACTTTTTGCCTATTATATTTTATCACACCAACACAAATCAAACTGGGAAAGAAATCAACTGAGACAATTACCAAAAACATAGAACAAGTTGAATGTCCAAGTGGTTAAGGCTATGGGCAATTTTAATCAGTGAAGTGTAGTGCCAAGGCTATATGGGCAGAAAGAGCGATCAATAGAAATTAAAGTTGTAACTGCTCCTCATCAAGATGACAGCAAGGATGGGAAATCTGTACCCTGATTGTGCTCTTGGAGAACAACTTGTAGAAACAAATCTGAAGTCAGATGCAGGAGTTTCCAGTCTGAGATGTAGCATTGGATAAAATGTGTCATCAGCTTTCAGAGGCTGTATCTAAAGGATGATGTAGGTATGTGAATGTGTAAGAATACTTATTCAGAGGGATGGCTCATGGTTTTTACAAGTCTCAATTAATTTCAACAATATGTTATTGTTTTAGCATATTTATGAAATTGTTATTTTTCTTTTAATTCAATTTAATTTTATTTAGTATCTATTCAATTAGGAAGTAAACACAGAAGTTTCTGTGGCTGTAATCTTCCTGGGTAGATAAGATACAAGCATAAACTTGAGAAGAAATGACTGGATATGTTGTTGAGCTTTAGACCAACATAGCAACTGTTGAAATCCATGTTTACTCTACAAAGAAAATGATGATAAGAGTTACAAAGAAGTAAAAGGTTTATCCCTTATCATTGGTAAAACACCTCTTACCTAGAATGATAACAGGTTCACACCAGCATTTTAAAAGCAAACAGTACAATGACTAGAAGGATGGTTCTGGGGTTAAGAGCACTGTCTACTCTTGCAGGGGACCTCCATTCCATTCCTAGCACCTATTTGATGGCTCATAGCTGTTGCAACTCCAGTTCCAGGGGATCTGACCCCTCTCTTCAGGCATCCTTAAGCACCACCAGGCACACAATTGGGTGCACAGACATGTATACAAGCAAAACATTCAGACACAGAAAACAAAATAGTAATTTTTAAAATTACAAGCTATGAAAGAGTAAAAAAGCAAATACTGTAATAAGTTTTATATCTTAAAATGCAAAAAGAGTTTACAAATAAAAAGTCCATTTTACTGTATAAAAACCAAGGCAACTCAGAATAGGTGGGACCATTGAGCCTGAAAGGACAGATTGCAAATGAGTTTTGGAGTTAGTCTGCTACTATGTATTCTGGACATCTACCTCTTCATAAATGTCTACCTTGAACACTTGATTTCTTATGACTTTGTGTCTCCACCTAGCTGTTGGTAGAGTGACATGCAAGATGTTTAGAGCACTGTTGGGCATATGATTAATACTCTAGGAGTGACTTATCTCCATTGATTCTTTTTCTTGTGACAAGCATTGTCTGGGCAGGGAACTGTGCTACTTCTGCAAGACAGTCACTGTCACCCCAGTCACAACATTCTTTACAAACTAATAGACTCACAGGGGACACTAGGGATACTAGGAGATGCTTAGTAATCATACTTCTCTGTAGAACTTTAAGAAATCAAACAAGGCTTTTAGAAAATATTTATTAAGTGTGTGTGTGTGTGTGTGTGTGTGTGTGTGTGTGTGTGTGTGTGTGTGTACTCTCCAATGTGCAAGCACATACACAGAGGTCAGAGGGCAAGACTCAGTACTTTCCAACATATGGGGTCTAGGTATTATACTCTGGTTATCAGACTGACAACAAATGTCCTTATACACTGAGCTATCTCACTAACCCTTCAAACAGGGTTTTTAATTAATTAATTAATTAATTAATTAATCAATGTCCATACCAGACACAGTTTCACCTCCCTCCTTTCCTCCCAGTCCCTCTCCCCAACATCCATGCCCATCCACACCTCTCCTTTCTCTTCAGAAAAGGGCAGGCCTCCCATGTATATTAGTTAGTCATGGACTATCAAATTGCAGTAAGACTAGGCATCTCCTCTCCTACTAAGGCAAACCAATAGGAAGAAAGGGTTCCAAAAGCAGGTAACAGAGTCAGAGACAGCGCCTGCTCTCACTGTTAAAAATCCTGCAAGAAGACCAAGCTACACAACTGTAACATATGTACAGAGGGCCTATGTTAGCCCCATGCAAGCTCTCTTGCTGACAGTTCAGGCTCTGTTCAGCTCAGTCCCAACAAGCCCAGGTTAGTAGATTCTGTGGTTTTTTTGTCCTTGGCACTCTGAATCTCACAATACTTTCTCCCCTTCTTCCACATGATTCCCTGAGGTCTACCTAACGTTTGGCTGTGTCTCTCTACATCTGTTTCCATTTGTTGCTAGGTGAAGCTTCTCTGATGGCAATTGGACTAGGCAACAATCTATGAGTGTAGAAGAATATCATTGGGAATAATTGCATTGACTATTTTTTGCCAGTAATGTTTGATTCTATTCTAGGCTCTGGGCCATCCAGCTTCTAGGTCCTGGCCCTCCAGGCAGTGTCAGGGGTGGGCTCCCTTTCATGGTATTGGTCTCAAGCTGGACTAGCCATTGGTTAGCCAGTCCCATAATTTTTACACCACCTTTACCCCAGTATATCTTGTAGGCAGGGCAAATTGTAGGTCAAAGGCTATGTGGGTGGGTTGGGGTCCCAATGCCTCCATTGAAAGTCTTGCCTGGTTATAGGAGATGGCCATTCAGTCTCTGTATCCTCTATTGCTATAAGTCTTAGCTAGGGTCACCCTCATAGATCCTGGGAGTTTCCATTGGATTTGGTATCTAGCTAATCCTAGAGATGTCCCTGGTCCAGTTGTCTTTACCAGTACTCTCTCCCTCCATCCTCTCCCCACCTGATCCCTCCTGTCCCCACCCCACCCCCATTCACACACCATCCCCCATCCATCTGTGATGTCTATCCTATTCTCCCTTCACTGTGAGATTCATATGTCCTCTCTTGAGCCCTCCTTGTTACTTAGCTTCTTTGGATCCATAGATTGTAGCATGATTATCCTTTACAGCTAATATCTACCTATAAGTGAGTACAGACCAGGCTTATCTTTCTGGGTCTGGATTACCTTACTTGGGATGATCTTTTCTATTTCTATCCATTTGCCAGCAAATTTCAGGATATCATTGTTTAAACGGCTAAGTGATAGTCCATTGTATAAATGCATCACATTTTCTTTATCTGCTCTTTTTTTGATGGACATCTAGGTTGTTTCCAGTTTCTGACTATTACAAATAATGCTGTTATGAACATAGTTGAGCAGGTATCCCTGTAGTTTGGCAGAGTGTCCTTTGAGTATATGCCCAGGAATTGTATAGCTGGGTCTTGAAACCAATTCTCAGTTTTCTAAGAAACTGCCATATTGATTTTCAAAGAGACTATTCAAGTTTGCACTTCCACTAGCAATAAAAGAGTGTTCCTCTTACTCCATATCCTCACCAGCATGAGCTGTCACTTGCACTTTTGACATTAGCCATTCTGACAAGTGTAAGATGGAATCTCAGAGTCATTTTTTCCATTTCCCTGGTAACTAAGGATGTCAAACAAGGGTTTTAGCTGAGGTCCCTCCTACCCAGCTGTCTCAGTATATATCAAAGTATTCAGTGTTTGGGTGAATTCTCAAGAATCCTGGCAAGGTGAACAGTAAATAAACAGGAGTTTCGGGGGCTAGGCATAAAAAATCATTTTAAATAACTCTTTATTTTCCTTTTCAGGCAGTCCATATCATAATTGGATTGGTGCACATTGGCTTTGGAGTTGTTCTTGGGTTGCTGAGTACCCATTACTACATGTCTTGGGCATTTTACTCTATTGCTTTTATTGGTGGATATCCATTCTGGGGTGGAGTCTCTGTGAGTAGTTTGCTGGAACACCTCTTCCTGTACAGTGTGGGTGTCGCCATCTGTTCACAGCTCAGTTCTTGATGAATGATGTGTCTAAGGGCTAGAGAGCTTCCAGAAATACTAGCTCTGGTTGAGCAAAAGAAAGGATTTCATATGTCCATAACACAAAGATGGAGGCTCTCTCAGCCTGGACTCTTAGGGGAGTGCCTGGACCCTGCCCTGAGTGAAATGACAGACTCTAGGTATCCCCTATGTGGAAGGAAGTGGTGATAGGGTGGGAGGCTGGGAGGGGAAGGTATGGGAGGTGGGGAGGGAGAGAGAACTGGGATTGACATGTGAAATAAGCTATTTAAAATTAAAATAATAAAATAAAAAAGAAGGAAAAAAAGAAAGGAAGGCCTGTCACTCCCCACGTCAGACAGGTTAAACTCACTCTGAATGCAAGCAAAGATCAGGAACCAATGTGTTGGATGGAGAGTTGTGATAGGAATGATCTCAAACATGACAAAAAATAGGCCAGTGACAAGATGGGGTTGAGGACAAGATAAGGTTGTGCAGGAGACACAATTATTCTAACAAATTCAGAGTCATCTGTGGCAGATGTTCTATATATGCAAGAAAATGAGGGTATGAAATCAGAGATGTGTTCCCAAAAGTTAATCTTAAAAAAACAGAGTGTCGGCCTTAATGCATAGGAGAGATGCATGGTCCTTCCCCAACTTAATATGCCAAACTTTCTTGACTCCTCATGGGAGCCCTTCCCATGAGGAGGAGTAGACAGGGGGTAGACTGGGAGGGGAAGTGAGTGGGTGGGAGGAGGGGTGGGAGGGAGAACTGTGGTTTGAATGTAAAATGCAATTAAAAAGAAATAAATTATAAAAAACTGAACTGTATGTGAGGGAAACAATACACACATAGCTAGAGCAACCTCTTGTAGAAGGAGATAGTTCCAGGCACAGAATAGAACCTACCATTCACAAATTTGTCCGTTTCTATAGTTCATTGCTTCTGGCTCACTCTCCATATCAGCATTCAAGAAATTCACTCCCTGTCTGGTAAGTCAGAAAACTTATTTCTACTTTTTAAATTCCTTTAAAGACTGGTTTGATCTACTAGCAAGGAAAATTTGAGATGGCAGTTTCAAAGAGTGGAGATGGAAGCTCATTCTCAAACTACCTGCCAGTGGCCAGGTAATGCCTGGACTGGCACTGGGTAGGGGTGCACTGAGTTTGCCACTGAGAAAGGCAGAGCACCACATCCAGGTTCTTGAAAGCACAAGAGTGGGAATTAGTATAAATGTTGCTTAAGCTTTAACCCGATGTCCCCCTGGTACTGTTGGGTCATGCAGCATTCAAGTAAAGTAAGACATCAATAGCAAAGTCCCGGTGTTCGCTGCCATTTCTCAACCCTATCTTGTACTTTCACTTTTCACTAGTGTGTAATCTTTAGTCTTATTCAGATTGTGCCTGTTGTCCGTTCTTTAAGCTGCCATTGAAAAGAATCTAGTTCAGAGGCTAAGAAGAGCACACAGAAATGTCCACAGAGATGGGGGGAATCAATTCTCTCAAGCCACAGCAATTTCCTGGTTTAATGACAAACCAGGAGAACGACATTTTTCCCCTAAACCTAGAGCAGATGTGGTTTTAAGATTGTATGAAGCTATATACCAGAACAAAGGAGGAGGAGATGGGAATGTGGAATCACTTTGTTTCTGTGCTCCAGATGAATAGTGGATTAAGCTAGTGTTAGAATTAGACTCGCTCTGGTTAGTTGCATCTACTATAACCCAAAAACAAAACAGAGCATTCTTCTCTGTATAGGTCTAACCCCCCAAAGTTTGTGTAGAAAAAGACTCTGTCTTTTGGGATGGTGCAACTAGATAGGAATGAATCATAACGATGGCTGTAAGAGTTAAAAGTGATATTATTTTAAATATAGAACAAAGCACCTATCAGATAATAATGCTCATTAAAAGTTTGTTCTTCTGGTTGGAGAGATGACTCAGCAGTTAAGATCACTGACTTGACCACTTCTCTAGAGGACCTGGGTTTCATTCCCAGAATTTACCCATAATCTCTGTAACTCCGGGACCAGGGGATATGATGGTCTCTCCTTGTGCACTGCATGCTCATAGTACATAGATATACATACAGGCAAAACACGTACAATTTTTTTCTTTGGTTTTTCAAGACAGGGTTTCTCTGTGGCTTTGGAGGCTGTCCTAGAACTAGCTCTTGTAGACCAGTTTGGTCTCAAACTCACAGAGATCCACCTGCCTCTGCCTCCCAAGTGCTGGGATTAAAGGTGTGCACCATCACACCCAGCTGTTTTTTAATTTTAACTTTAAATTTTTTCATACAGTATATTAAGTATATTCTCTCCCTTCCCCTGACATTCCTACCCACCCAACTTCAAGTTTTTTTCTCCTTCGCAAAAAAAGAAAAGGAAGGGAAGGGAAGGGAGGGAGTGAGGGAGGCAGGAAGGGAGGGAGGAAGGAAAGAGAGAAAAAAACAAAGAAAAATAACAATTCTTCCCCATAGATCCCTGACCCCTGAGAGGAGGGTTTTGGTGAAGACATCTCATGAGACTTGAGTGCTCCAAAGTCTCTCACTTTCTTCACACTGTCCGGTTGTGGATCTCACAAAGTAGGGCTGTTACTGTGAACAAAGCTTGTATATAAATGTGGTAAATGAGCTTCTGCTTCAAATTATGTGATTTATTATATTCTTTTGTTTGCAATATTTACAGCTTTTTGGAGGAAACTGTTACCTAGAATATAGAGTAATTTTCACAACTACTTAGAAGGGCAAAAGAAAGACATTATGTCAGTTTCAAATGTTGTTTTATGCTAGGGTCATAGCTCAGTGGTAGAGCACCTGCCTAGGCTGCATCAGACCTTGAGTTCAACCCTCAGTGCGATCAAAACTAAAATAAGATGTCAAAGATAAGAATCATTAACTTGGATAAACTCCAACTCCCTCTAAATTCATTTATCTTCTACATAGTTACTCTTCTTATTGCCTCCAACAGGTAAAAAGCACCCTAATAATGAACATTATTAGTGCTATCTTTGCTTTTGCTGGAGTGATTCTGTTGGTGGCTGATCTGAACATCAATGGCTACCATTATCAAAACTACTGGATGGTAGTGAGTATCCCGCCATAGACTGTTCTCTCCTCACTGCCACAGAATATCTATTGTTGTTTCCTATTTATTATGCAGCAGTTCTGTTGAGAAAATTCTATTTCTAGCCCTACTCCTAGGAATGTGATTGCTAAGATACAAAGTGAGAAAATTACATTTGCACATAGGTGAAGTCATAAAGACCACCCTGTGGCCATCACATGAGCAATGGATAGAGCTTGGCCCCTCCAAAATATACTCAGAATTTCTTTCTCAGCACTTTAAAATTCTGCATAAATAAGGTATCAAAGTTTTAAGTGGCTTTTTTAAAGAATGAAAACAGAGGCAGACTGTCAGCTCAGGTGCAATCAATTCCCTTTGGTTATTTCTTTATTGTCACCAAATGCATATTTTGAGAAAAACAGATTAATTTTGATTTTTCTTTAAGACTTTTCCTTTGGCAAGTAGACTATTTAGGAATATTATAAAATAAGTGTGTGGCTTTTTTTCTTTGCAACGATCTCCTTGCTGTTATGAAAAATATCACTCACAGAGTAGGTTGAACATGAGTGAGATAGCACTTATGGTGAGTCTGGACATTCCTGAAATCTACATGAGACCCTCCTGTTCAGCCTAACATTCCACATATTTATGATTTCAGCTTTCTGGGAGAGGAATTGCGGGTGCACTGGCAATACTTTCAGTATTGGAGTTCGGCGTAGCATGTGCCATGACCCACTTTGCCAACCAAACAATGCTCCATGGACAAGGTAACAGGGTGAGTTGAGTCTCTTATTTGTAAAAGTAACCCGAACAGATGCTACAGAAACACAGGCTGAGTGTGGGTTGACTACAGAGCTCTCTGCACTCCACTCTGCTGGGACAGGGGAGAGTGAATGGACAGTGCTAACAACACTGCTTGTGTTTTTCTTTTCCTTTCTAGACTGTCCCGACTGCTCCAACGATGTATGTGGCCAATCCCTTGATGCAAGAGTCTTTCCCAGACCCTCCAATATATGATAACATCCCAGCTTATGCTCCTAGACAATAACAGGCATGAAGAATCGCTGGTACAGTTTCATACAGTAAATCTTCTCTGTAAAGAAAAATTCTTATGAAGCTGGTTTTTGCTGCCCACAGTGTCTGCAATTCAATTAGTGCCTGTATTTGGAATTTGTTTAAGGCTAACAGTCACCGGGTCTTCAACGAGGGCCTCTTTTTGCTTACTATTACTGCATCTGTTGAAGGGAAAGGACAAGAAAACTAACCCTGCAATGCTCTTAGCATTAGAAACCTTCTATTCATGTTATCTTTTCCGCAATGAAATGTCATGGGGAACATAAGCCTCTTTTGGTATCTTTCTGACAGACACTATTGAGACTGATATTTCTTAGTTGGAAGTTTACATAGTGTCCAGTCACTGGAGTTCCTTAGTTATCTTCCCATGTTCTGTTCAGAAACCACAGATCCAGTGTTGCCTGAGGAAGGGCACATTATTTTACACATCAATATTGTCACCAACCAGATGACTGGCATTTATATTTTTATTTTATAAATTACTATATATATTAATATATATAATATATTAGATATCATTATGGAATTTTGAAGAGTTTGTTCTTAATTATCTTTAATTAAAATGTAATTACATCACTTTCTTTTGCCTTTCTTCCCTACAGCCCCTCCCAAGTTCCCTCCCTCCAACTTTTTCCACGTCTCCACACTCTCAAATTGGTAGACTCTTTTTTATTATTGTTGTTATATGACATGTATGTATGTAATTATATATGTATGCACAAATGCATAAATATAATTGGTTTAGTCTGTTTTGGTTGTTCATGTGTGTATGGTTTAAAAGCTGACCACTTTGTATGGATAACCAATTGGGGGTTCATCCATGAAAAAAAGCTGATTCTCACTCTCTAAGCAGTCATTAGTTCCCTGTAATTCTGTGTCTAGGAGTTGGAGCCCATGAGATCTCCTCCTTCCACATTAGCATGCTAGTTGATACTGCTACTGCTCCAGTCCTGTTTATGTAGCCATAGTACCAGAAAACACTGCACAAGCTGTTAAGGGAAGGAAGCGTTTAACACTCCTACCCAACTGTTAGGAACACAATTATGAACCACAACAATTTTTGGCATGGCAAGATATCCACAAAGGCAAAGTGAGTGGCACTGACCATTGGTAGTAACCAACACCAGTCTAACTAGAGTTAGGCCCATTCAATGGGAAGAAAATCATGCTTACTACTAGGAACCTAGCCAACTTCTCGGGACTGTGAGGTCATAGATCTTAGAAGAGAATCAACTACCATTATTTTACTATGCCAGCATAATTCCTAACTATAGCCTAAATTCTATGCTTAAACCCACCAGTTAGTGCAGCTGCTACCCCTCATCAAAATAACTTCTCTATACACAGATGGAGACCTGGACACTATGCAGAGATCAATGGGTCCAGGGTATCCCCAACTTCAGTGGGTACACCTTTATCACAGATCATACAGCTACAGCTCAGAGAACATGGTGGGAGAGGGGCTAGAAACATGGTAAGAGCCAGAATACAAGCAGGTATGCTCTCACCGTGGCATTTTTGGACAAAGGGAGTTTTAATAGTTTCCTTCCTCTCACCTCCGCCTCCCACTACCCTTGACTCCCACTTCAAGCTCTCAGTCTCTTGGCCTCTTTCCTGTCTCATGTGTCCTTTTGCCTGCACTCATCCTTCCTTTCTCTTCTCTCCTTTTTTGGTCTCCTTCCAAGTTTTTAAAGCTTTACTCACAATTACACCTGTGTTGTGGGGTATACATTTGTGCATCACAAGCCAGGATCTGCATGTGAAAAAGAACATGTGTCATCTGCCTTTATGAGTTTGGTCACCTTGCTTGATTTTGATCTATTCAAATCCCAAGCTTCCTTTTCTTTATGCAGATGGAAGTCATGGAAAAACAAAGGGTAGCTTCTTCAGCACAGGCAATTCTGGGTCTTTGAGTTCGAAAAGGGTCATAGACAGTACTAATTGATCCAGAGATTTATAGCTTTTAGTCCTGAAAAAGAGGATTAACTGTAAAAGTAGTATTTCCTTCAAAGAACTTTCAGAAAGGTTGACTTTTAAGATAAATGTGTAATAAATTTTACATTTCACTTTTCCTTAATAGTGGTAATAATAATAGCAAGTATTTAGCTCTCTGTATGCACTAGTCACATTCTGGACACATGTGCTATGTCAGTGTGCTTGGTACAGAAACCCAGCAGGGTGGGTTCTATGATTAATATGCAAATGCATCTTAACATTAACATGCTTTAAGATGACAGAACTCTGGCAGAGAGGTTTGTGACCTTGTCCTAAGACATGGGGCAAACAAAAGTTGAAGAGAAAATGAGATGATAGATGGAAATAGTATGAACATAGATGAGGCTCCTCTGTATTGGAATGTAAAATGTAAAGCATTAGATAGGGAATAGATGGATAAATAGATATAAATATAATTGTGTAAATGTACACAGATAAGGCTAGATTATATAGGTGTAAATCTAGATATGTAAGTATGAATGGATAGATAGTCAGACAGACAGACAGATAGATATTTATGGCAGAGAAATAAAAGTCATAGAGGAAGCATTGATAAATTTTGCATCTGAGAAGTTATATGCATTATTTCAAGAAAAGAGCTACTTAGTACCCAAGTAGGATTTGAACCCAAGCAGTCTTGCACATTCATCGATTTTTCCTGACCCTTACTTTTCCTTATTTGGAAACCATCAAAGATTTACAGCTAGAAACCAGGTGAGCAAAGCTTGTTTCCCTATAGTAGATTTTAGTAACTTTGCAAAGTCTAGTTCACCCTCCTTAGGGAGCTTATATTGGATACTACTATGTCACTGATTCCAACACTTGTTTCCTGAAAGCTCAAATGTCCTGTGAATCATTCCTAAGAGTCTCCAGCCTAACTACCTTAGAACAGCGTTTTCAAACTCAGAGTCCAATGACCCTTTCACAGAGATCAACAAAGACCAGTGGAAACCACAGATGTTTGCATTATGATTCAAAATAGTAGCAAAATTACAGTTATAAAGTAGCAATGAAAATAATTTATGGCTGGGAGTCAACACAATAGGAGGAACTGTATCAAAGGGTCACAAAATTAGGAAGGTTGAAAACCACTACTTTAGAATGTCAAATGGCTTCTCAATTCTCAATTTACCAATTTCCCTTTGTACTGAATCATCAAACAATGCAAAAAAAAAAAAAAGGTTGGGTCTCAAACACCTAAAACACCTAAGATTTGCACTTGCCATTTTTTTTAGAGTAAGATAAACAAGGCAACTTAGTCCAGCAATCAAACAAAGGAAGAAGCATTAATCTCTTTTTTATTTTTATTTTTTTATTTTTAAACTTAAATTAGAAACAAGGTTGCTACACAAGTCAGTTCCTGGTCCCTCTCCCTTTCCCTCCCCTCCTTCCGCGCCCTCCCACCAACTCCCCCAATATCCCCTCATTTCCCCAGGGAGGATGAGGCCCTCCATGGGGGTGTCCATAGTCTGTCATTTCATCCAGGGCAGGGCATAGACCCTCCCCCAAGAGTCCAGGGTGAGAGTACATCTCACATTGTTGGATGGGAGTCCAAAGTCCATTTGTATACCCGGGATAAATACTGATCTACTACTCAAGGCACAATAGATTACCTAGGCCTCCTCACTGACACCCACATTCAGGAGGTATTGATCAGTCCCATGCTAGATTCCCAGGCATCAGTCTGGGATTCAAGAGCTAATCCTTGTCAGGTCAGCTGTTTCTGAGGGATAAACCAGCCCAGTCTTAACCCCTTTGGTCATCAGTCCTTCCTCTCTGTCACTGGATTTCTTGAGTTCAGCTCAGTGCTTAGCCGTGGGAGTCTACCTCTGCTTCCATCAGCTACTGAATGAAGGTTCTGTTTCCCAGACTCTCTGGCCATGGGATTCTAGGCTGGCACTGCCCAGATCTATGTCTAAAATCCATATATGAGAGAGTACATGCCATGTTTCTCTTTTTGTGACTGGGTTACCTTGCTCAGGATGGTTTCTTCTAGTGCCATCCATTTGCCTGAAAATTTCAGGATTCCATTGTTTTTTTCCGCTAAATAGTACTCCATTGTGTAAATGTACCACATTTTCTCTATCCACTCTTCAGTTGAGGGGCATCTAGGTTGCTTCCAAGTTCTGGCTATTACAAATAATGCTGCTATGAACATAGTGGAACAGACATCCTTATTGTATGAATGGGCATCTTTTGGATTATATGCCTAAGAGTGGAGTTGCTGGGTCTTGTGGTAGGTTTATTCCCATTTTTCTGAGGAATCTCCATACTGATTTACAAAGTGGCTGTACAAGTTGGCACTCCCACCAGCAGTGGAGGAGTGTTCCCCTTTCACCACAACCTCTCCAGCATAAATTGTCCTTGGTGGTTTTGATTTTAGCCATTCTGACAAGAGTAAGATGGTATCTCAGAGTTGTTTTGATTTGCATTTCCCGGATGGCTAAGGATGTTGAGCATTTTCTCAAGTGCCTCTCAGCCATTTTAGACTCCTCTATTGAGAATTCTCTATTTAGTTCTGTAACCCACTTTTTAACTGGATCCTTTGGTGTTTTGGAGACTTGCTTCTTGAGTTCTTTGTAAATTTTGGAGATCAGCCCTCTGTCAGATGTGGGGTTAGGGAATATCTTTTCCCATTCTGTGGGCTGTCTTTTTGTCTTGCTGACTGTGTCCTTTGCCTTACAGAAGCTTCTCAGTTTCAGGAGGTCCCATTTATTAGTTGTTGATCTCACTGTCTGTGCTACTGGTGTTATTGTTATGTTCAGGAAGCTGTCTCCTGTACCAATTTGTTCAAAGGTACCACCCACTTTCTTTTCTAAGAGGTTCAGTGTGGCTGGATTTATGTTGAGGTCTTTGATCCATTTGGACTTAATTTTTGTGCATGGCGATAAACATGGATCTATCCGCATTCTTCTACATGCCAGCATCCAGTTATGCCAGCACCATTTGTTAAAGATGCATTCTTTTTTCCATTGTATATTTTTAGCTTCTTTGTCAAAAATCAGATGTTCATGTATGGGTTAATATCCAGGTGTTCAATTCAATTCCATTGGTCTACCTGTCTATTTTTGTGCCAATACCAAACTGTTTTCAGGACTACAGCTCTATAATAGAGCTTGAGGTCGGGGATGGTGATGCCTCCAGATGTTGCTTTGTTGAGTAAGGTTGTTTTGGCTATCCTGGGTCTTTTGTTTTTCCATATAAAATTGATTATTGTTCTTTCAAAGTTTGTGAAGAACTTTGCTGGTATTTTAATGGGGATTGCATTGAATCTGTAGATTGCTTTTGGCAGGATTTCCATTTTTACTATATTGATCCTACCTATCCAAGAGCATGGGAGATCTTTCCATTTTCTGAGGGCTTCTTTAATTTCTTTCTTTAAAGACTCGAAGTTCTTGCAATACAGGTCTTTCACTTGTTTGGTTAGCGTTACCCCAACGTATTTTATGTTGTTTGTGGCAATTGTAAAGGGTGATGCTTCTCTGATTTCTTTCTCAGCCCTTCTATCATCTGTATGTAGTAGGGCTTCTGATTTTCTTGAGTTGATCTTGTATCCTGCCACTTTGCTGAAGATGTTTATCATCTGTAAGTGTTCCCTGATAGAACATAGGGTCATTTATGTAATCTATTGTATCACCTACAAATAGTGAAAGTTTGACCTCTTCCTTTCCAATCTGTATTCCCTTGATCTCCTTTTGTTGTTGTATGGCTCTGGCTAGAACTTCAAGTACAGTATTGAAAAGGTATGGAGAAAG